CCCCGACCTTCCGTCCTCCAGGAAGACGCTCTATTCATCAGTCCGCGGAGGCAGTCTCACCTTGGTGAACCCCTTTTGCAGACACAGTGCACACCTTAGTACACACTCCTTGGTATAACCTAAATACAAGACCCGTGAAGATCAGGGGTATCGATCCCAATTGCGTGGATCGATGCTCATGATATTAATCACTGGATTGTCTGGTCCAGACTCGATTATTTACAGACCGCCGTCATATAGCTGGATTATTGCTGAGTGCGGCGTTAAACAACAAACCAACCAACCTAAATACAAACCTGCAGAACACACATCTTGGTACATAAACTGGTACATTCAGCTGAATACACCTTAGTACACACCTAAGTACACTCTTTGGTATAACTCAAATACAAACCTTCACTGTACACATCTTAGTACATACATTGGTACAATCAGCTGAATACACCTTAGTACACACCTAAGTACACTCTTTGGTATAACCTTAATACAAACCTTCACTGTACACATCTCAGTACATACATTGGTACATTCAGTTCATACACCTTAGTACCAACCTAAGTACACTCTTTGGTATAACTCAAATACAAACCTTCACAGTACACATCTTAGTACATACATTGGTACAATCAGCTGAATACACCTTAGTACACACCTAAGTACACTCTTTGGTATAACTCAAATACAAACCTTCACAGTACACATCTTAGTACATACATTGGTACATTCAGCTCAATACACCTTAGTACACACCTAAGTACACTCTTTGGTACAACTCAAATACAAACCTTCACTGTACACATCTTGGTACATACATTGGTGCATTCAGCTCAATACACCTTAGTACACACCTAAGTACACTCTTTGGTACAACTCAAATACAAACCTTCACTGTACACATCTTAGTACATACATTGGTACAATCAGCTGAATACACCTTAGTACACACCTAAGTACACTCTCTGGTACAACTCAAATACAAACCTTAACTGTACACATCTCAGTGCATACATTGGTACAACCAGTTGAATACACCTTAGCACACACATTTATGCAAACCCTGCTGCATTTAACGTCTTTGAGAGGCATTCAGAAGTGGGGGTACCAAGTAAGGATCAACAAGCATGGGTGAGAAGCTTTTACACAAGTATGAGGATAGACTCGTTTGCATTCTACATTCATAAACAAGACAACCATTTGCCAATATTTTTTTTTGTATATTGGAAAGCTGGAAACGAATTTTTCTAAAGGTGTTGTCAAAGTTTCCTGTAAGTTGTATTTCTGAAATATCTTTCGGTTACAAGTAAAGACTTAATGTATCTGTGGCCATCATATCTTGAACTACTTGCGAAATCATTATTGATACAGTCAGACATTCCCTGAAAACGCGTGGACCACTTGTTGTTAATTCCTTCCATTCTAGCTGCAATACACTACATGTATGTACATCCCGGATATCGTTTTCCTATCATACCCGGAAAACAACCTCATATTACATCCTGGATGTCACTTTATACTTCGTACCGGATATCACTTTAAAGTTAAATTTTTATGTACTAGTGTACAAAAAAATTAATTACAGTCTTCAAACTTGCCACTATCTCACGCTCAACACCGCATACCCTCTCATATTTGAGACTTTATACTCTCTCTCTCTCTGAACACTGATCCAATCTCACACTTAACGCTTGATAACATCTCACAACAACAGACAAACTTTAAAATCTTATACGGGATACTATCTCACACAAATGAAGTACAAATGGACCTATCTTCACATAACAATGCACAGGTCTTAACACGTGTTTAACAGTGCTGGATCAGATTCGCGTTTAGTATCACTGAATAAACTTTCCTTATTGATTAACAATAACGCAGCGATAAATCTTCACGTTGAGTCACTATGTCCTAAATTATCCCAAATAATTCCTAAATATTTTGAATTGTCAGTAATATATTTGCTTAGCTAGGTCCGCGCAGCCATTAATCACACAGACAGATGTATGTAAACTACACTTCCTCGCATTTTAGACTGACGCTACACGCAGAATAGCATGCTTCGTTCTGGATGCCATCTCTTATTTTACGCTGAATTTTATGTGACGCTTTACCATGAGTATGACACCAATTGAGGGGCGGTGGGGTAGCCTAATGGTTAAAGTATTCGCTTGCCATGCCCAAGGTCCGGGTTTGATTCTCCACATATGTACAATATGTGGATCCCATTGATGGTGTCCCCTGTCGTGATATCAATGTTGCTGGAATATCGCTAAAAGCGGTGTAAAACATGATACTGTGAAACAGAAGCCCAATATATTATAACGGCAACCAACCTGACATTTTCGTTTGACAAGACGGCAATGAATTAATGTCCACACAGGAATGGACGGATTTATCTGTACACAATACATTTCTTTTATACTTCCGTCATTGGATATGGGGCGATTATTGAATTGACAATTGTTCAAATATTACAGAGCGCCTAGCACAGGTATTTATGAGTGAGTGTATATGGTTTTACGCCGCGTTTAGCAATAGTCCAGCAATATCACGGCGGGGACACCAGAAATGGGCTTCATACATTGTACCCATGTGGGGAATCGAACCCGGGTCTTCGGCGTGACGCGCGAACGCTCTAACCACTAGGCTACCCCACCGCCCCCAGGTATTGATGAATTCATCACTGAGCTGGCGGTGGGGGTTACTGTGAGATCATTTAAGGGACTCAAATGACAGGTGCGTTATCACAGAGTATAAATGAACTGTATACCATTACATTAAGTTAGTATCAGCATAACTATATTGTGCTTATGTGTTTGACCTCACTGTGGGTTTACCGCTTCTTGTATTGATTGTTTGAAACCAGGAAGGAACATTTCTCACTCCAACCTCACAGTTACTTTCATTTACAAACGGCAAAAAGATAACACTTTGTGACATAAACATCATATTCATGCATTTTCTTGTTTTATTTGGTATGCTTTCGGTACTTAAGGCCACATGGCCAATTGTACAGTTGACATTTTAAGATTCATTTGTTTAGTCACGTGACATATATGATATATAAAAACTATCGACAGAGACTATCCATTTCAACAATATGGCTGATGAACGTATAACAGCAGAGCAATCTCATTAAAATCAGATCTTAGTTCTCGCTATCGCTAAGCAAAGATCTGAGGACATCCCATTACGGGTCACGTCAGAACGACCTTTCATCCAACCAATCAGAGCGTCGCTTACCAGATCAGGAAAGTGACAGACGGAATGTGTTTTCTAATCATGCAACCTCGAAATATTTAACAGAGGGTGTTCCAAACGACGGGTTTTATGATTTTATCCATACAATCTAGGCAATCTGTAAGCCATTCCAGAATGTTCTTTTTATCAGCTTAAAAAAATTAACCGAGAATACGTCAAAATATGTTTCGACGCGTAGTCGCCAGTTTGAAACCAGTGTCGTAAAGCTCGAGAAAGCTGCCTTCTGATTGGCTAATGTCGATTTCTTGTCAGTCATTTCATTGGTCGGTCAAAGTTTGCGAGAGGTCGTTCTGAGGTGACCCGTAATGGGATGTCCTCAGATCTTTGTTTAGCGGTAGCGAAAACTAAGGTCTGATTTCAATGAGATTGAACCGCAGAGTTGTTGGAATTTATATGACTGACCATTAAAATACTGTTTTTATGCCTATTGTTAAACATCGGAACATACTTTTCTCTAAGATGTTCATACTTATCACATACTAAGAAAGCATGAAATCTCTCTTAATTGGCAGATTTTACAGATACCCATTAACATCCTTTTTTCACACCTACGTCTAAGATTTACACTGAAATTGTGTAATGACTATCTGAATTTACATAATGCCCTAACAAGCAATTTATAATCTCATATACGTATATACTTCGCTGGTTCTATAGCAGACTTGATATCCTTGTAATGGCTGAGGAAACGTGAAGAAGATACTAGGCTCTTCATCAACCCTTTGAGGTCGCAAAACAATGGAAGTTGATGTCAGTAAGCATGTTTGGTCGACTATATTACGAGTTAATCAAAGGGTCATTTGCGGTACAAGTTTCAGCTGAGAATAGATTTGTTGGAATGGATTACAAAAACGATATGATTATGGATTAGTATGATTCACGTATGATTATAGAAGGATTTTTATATTTTACATATGATGGAAATGCCGCGTAGCGGGAGAACCAGTTTACGTGAGATAAAGCTGTGATGCGGATTTGCAATTGTGTGGTGGCAGAATGTCAACTCTTGGACATCAACAATGATAAATATACATATTGTAAATATTTTCATAGGTACACCCATTTCAGAAACTTGCATCATCCAATATATACCAATTTGAATGAACGTCGTCATAAGTACATTTTAGCAGAACGTCATTTAGTTAAGTAATAAATTGCAATGGTCTACGTTCGAATTTTTAGTTTCGTTGTGTTTATAAATATGAATATTGGTCGGCATCATACCCGTGCTCGTGTGTTTCACCAAACTGGTAAATATCTCGTGCTTGCATCACTCCAGGGATTTCCTCTTAAATATAGCTGAAAAGCCGTGATAATACTGAACTACTATTCATAGCCACATTTATATACAACCGAATCTATCATTAATTACCAGGCAGATGATCTTACACAAACAAGCAGGGACCCGTGAAGATCCGGGGTAAAATAGGTCTTCAGCAACCCATGCTTGCCGTAAAAGGCGACTCTGCTTGTCGTAAGAGCCGACTTACGGGATCGGGTGGTCAGGGCTTTCTGACTTGGTTGATGCAGGTCATCGATCCCCATTGCGTGGATCGATGCTCATGATGTCAATTACTGTATGGTCTGGTCCAGACTCGATTATTTACAGACCTCCGTCATATAGCTGGAATATTGCTGAGTGCGGCGTTAAACAATAAACAGTCAGACAGACAAACAAGCAGGATGTACACACGCAGACCTTACACACCGACGATTTGAAGTCCGATACTTTAACAGGGACTTACAATAGCCTTCGATCCTTACAGTAGTCCATAGGAGGGCTAAACTAAAGGCAACTTGTGTACACATTTTTGGCTTATAGTGTAGGAAAATGTTCACAAAATACACTCTGTTTATTTTATGACTGAATAACCCGGAGAATTCGAGATCATATTATCACATTCAAGAATAAAAAAAGCAGTAGACGCGGTTTAGTGTTTACTCTGATGACTCATATAACAATGTCCTACTCGATGCAACTGCTTCACGACAAACAGCTGTGTGCCTGTGCGCGTATTTTGCTTCCTGGTTGCTCGTGGCAAGCTGCGACAAGGTAAGGGCTTATTCTGAAATTAGGAGAATGTGAAAGTAACTCAAGTCATATCTTAGAATGGATTTGTTTTACCCTTTTCTCGAAAACCTGGTGTCACCACTGTATTTGTGTGATATCCTTTCATTTTATATTCACCGCTATTTCGAGCTTTACACCCAGTGGAATGATCCAAACTGGGTGTTATCTGGCGTTGATGTTTTGTATTTATTATAAGTTTCCCTTTAAGCAGTTCACAGTGCATGTATGTTAGTTGTTTGCCTGAAAACAAACATTATTTACAGATGAATGAGAAATTGATTTGACCAAAAATTACAAACGTTATGAAAACGTTACTAGGCTGAAAACATCACCGAACATACTGCACACTTGAGGTCCAAAACACAACTATGATACCTGTATCAAACACATCATCATCGAATAACCATTTTTTGTTTGTTTCATTTTTAGCCGCCATCAAACGTGGGTGAATACTTTCTTTTGCCCGGTAGTAAGCGCATAGAACAATTGATTATTATGGTTTCCAGTAAATATATACATGTTCAATGATCAATTATAGAAGTTAATTATGTACAGTATTATGACACTAGCGTGTTATGCATAGGCAAGTTTGATTTGAGTGTTCGACTCGAAAACTTTACCATGTAGATTCGACATGATTCAAACACGATTCAAAGCAATGTGCCAAATGCACCAGGTCATTAACTATATTTTGATATGAATAATGGCCATATATCCTATACCTTTTTACATATCGACAAGCTCTAAACAGGTGGTAGCATTCGCCAGCACAGAATACAATGTTGCATTCACTCTGACTTTGAACGAGGTTTCATGCATGAATACACACGTTCATGTAGGTGTAGGAGAAACTTATTTTGAAAATGTCGTGGAAGGGCTCACTGGGTTTTTAAACGAGCATTCTCACTGTTATGTTAATACACATGAACCGTACCAAATACAGGCCACTAGGTACATTGCACACATACATGGTCCCAGCGTTTCCCTGTAATAGTTATGGGACAATTAAAATATTGTAGTTATGACATATGAGATCTGTACATATTGTGAAAAGGTATTACATATATACATGCAATAATAGGTTTGTAAGAAAACAGTAAGACATTAACTACCATGGGAAGACACATCTGCTCCATTGACAGATGGAAGCTCATTTACCAGAAACTTTGTTTGTAGCTTCACAATCCAAATGAAGTTGTTGAACTATTAGTCAACAATACTACTAGGTTACAAAATAACACCAAGGCTAAGCGTTGGTATTACACTGGTGCGGATTTCCATGTACGCAATGCTAAGAACAAGGACGTATTTAGTATCGTATGAAATATATATGAAAGAGCAAAGACGTTGCAAAACAGTAAGCTTAAATGTGTGTGGATGTATTCTGCGTTCTCGTTCCTATTCCCTGAAATTGCAGTTAATGTCCAGGCTTGTCTAACTCTATGTATTATTAAAACCAGGACATATCGACTGTCCTGCCAACGTTAACCCATCTTCATAATGCAATTAGAGCATTACAAAATCACGTGTGACAACTATGGGCAATATACAAATATGGGCGTTGTGAACAATATGTGAAATATACTTTTATATGTGATGCATCTGTCTCAAAATTATTTGGTAATACAGGAAATAGCATTTTTGTACACCCGTGCTAATACAGCCTTAAATATAGGATAGTTCAATATTCAAACAAGGATTTGTACATAAAATGATTATTAGAGTTGGCACATAGTAGCACTATTATGCTTGACACGACTAGTAAAAACACCGATAATGTGCATATAATGCGCCAAAACCACACCCTCAAGCATGCTCAAAGCCCTTACCCCGATGAACGGATGTGGGCACTCGATATCCATTCTCCTCTCCCAGGGGAGTATACAACCCTAGCTGCCCGTGAGGCACTAGAAAGTTAACAGACATGCTACCGGGTACCCATTCACTGCTTGGTGAACGGAGACACTGTTCGAATAAAGGAGACACCCCATGTGCTAAATGTGAAACAGGACTAAGGCCCCAAACATTCTCAGGGGTCAACCTGCCGACCGCGGTCATCCATCCGACTGCTACATCGTTGTTTGACTTCACGTAATTTGTGACCTTTGCGCTGCTCACAGGGCCACATGACCATGCGATCGCACTGGCATTTTCAAACATCTGAGAAAAAACATGAATACTGCTCAATAGACAGCTTTTCACCGTTAAATATGATTTATAATAAAAAAATTATATTTTTTTTGCTTTTGTTTTTACATTTCCAGTTCCTGTACAATTTCAGCATTGTTATGATTATTTTTTAGTTTTCCACAATACGTCGCCTTGTCAAACTGTAAATAACAGCGTGACTGGACTTTATCAAACTGATATAGTCGACGTCGTCAACGTTATATTAATTGACATTTCGTATTCAAGTAATATCGATATTGTTCCTCCTGGAAGAACTTGAAGTCCGTCTATAATTAACTATGTTCTGTTAAAAATGAATAAAGATTAAATTGAAAGGATCATCCGAGCAAAGTGTGGTGTTTTGATTCCGGGTAAGAATTGGTCTTCAGCAACCCATGCTTGTCGTACGAGGCGACTAACGGGATCGGGTGGTCAGGCTCGCTGACTTGGTTAATGCATGTCATCGTATCCCAATTGCGTGGATCGATGCTCATGATATTAATCACTGGATTGTCTGGTCCAGACTCGATTATTTACCGCCCGCCGTCATATAGCTGGAATATTGCTGAGTGCGGCGTAAAACAACCAAGCAACCAACCAAGCAACCAACCAACATTGCTGCAATAAGAAAATATATGAGGGGCTACCAAATCAAATGTTCCTTCTCAACAAGGACCAAGTGAGATAATTTGGGCATTCTTGTATGAGTACTTTGCTGAATAGGATTGTGTAGTGTAATTATGAAAACATACTACAATTTTCCATCAACAAATATGTACATAATCCTTTTGAATATGTAGGTTATGGATTTAGTGCGTCATTCATTACTGGACAGCGTCTTACTTTTGTACTCATAACAATTGTAATGAAATAACATCTCTACGTCCTTTCAAACTAAGAGATATACATTTAACGTCAAAGAGAAATTAGTGTTGAATGGAAAATAGTAGGTTTTTTTCATCATTCATAAATGTATATAAAGAGAATCGCACCCCAGTCTCTTTTGATATCAAATATATCAACACGAGTTGATAAAAGTGGAAAAAGTCCGAGGCTTGCCGAGGAACTTTTCCACTCTTATCAACGAGTGTTGATATATTTGATATCAAAAGACACTCGGGTGAGATTTTATTTATCATCCAACATCATTCTTCCAACTTTTTCAGTTTGTAGACAGTAATAGGCAGTATCTTAAGTGTTAAAAGTACTGCTAACAGTTTCAGCAGCAGAGCCATGAGTTATGTCATTTGATTCTGACGTCATGGTAACCATTGGCGTCACAATGTTCTGCGAAGCATTGTGATGCAATTGTATTGCAGCGATATCTACAATGTATCTATCGCTTGATCTCACCCAAGCAATATCTCCTGTGGGAGCCAGTTTTGGATGATAAAAGTCCAGTTTCCACCCTTGCCGAACCAGGCTGGAATTTTCAGGCTCTGTCGTAGCGCCACCAGTGGCTGTTACGAGCTATGTCCCTTCTATGTCCCTCCTATAGACCAATCCGATTCCATCTCTCATATCACTTGCATATGCTTCAAACAAAATGGCATCGCCCAGTCAAGACGATCAGATAAATAATCAAGATCTGTATTGTAATAAAACGGATCTTACCCGGCAAAGTGCATCAAATCACTTGAGCACCTTGATTAAACATAAAAGATTTGGAAAATATCTGTCGACGCCAAGTTGATGGTACGCATGCTTTGCAAATCCTACAAATCCTGCAAAATCTGCACGTTGAAATCCATGTTGTTTACGAACTTGATGTCTCGTTCGTTACGCGATTTTGATATGACTATGCATAGACTCGTTAGTTAGCCAATGTGTGACTCCGGAATTTCAGCCTAGTTCGGCAAGAGTGGAAACTGGACTTTTTATAGTCAGCTAACGCCCTTGCCTCTGGAAGATGGGCACATACCATTTTATAAACCTTTAAACACAAAACAGTGTACACATTAGGGCATACACTGGTCCACACATGTGTATACACATAGGTTCAAACATTTGTACACATGCTGGTACACACATTGGTTGACACCTTGATACGCACAATGGTACAAATATAGTGGTACACACCTTGATACACACCTTGGTTCACACGTTGGCACACTTAGTACATACCTCAGTACATACATTAGGATCACACTTTATGACACCCTCCGCGCCCCTTGGTATACTTTATATTGTGATATTGTGAGAAACATTACACTTTATGTCATTCTGATAGAGTATGTTTTCAGAGCATTATCAATCGCAAAGGAGAACAGTGAATGGAAGAGATCCTTACCGATATTTTACCTAAAATGGATGAAAAGAATCCTTATTGAGTATCTTGATCATATCCTTTGTTTATTTGTTCAATGTTGTTTAACACTGGACAATCCAGTGATTGACATCCTAACATTCATCAACCTAGTCACCGAGCCTGACCACCCGATCCCGTAAGTCGCCTTTTACGACAAGCGTGGGTTGCTGATGATCGTTTCTAACCATGATCATATCAAATGTGAATCAATACAAACAAGAAACGGCGAGTGGTAATTGAACAGCTGTTGTTCACACATAGAACTCCATACGAAAGCCTAGAAATAAGTAAACGTCATCAAAAATTAGTTATGCCCCAAAAAGTCGTATGACGTCATTCGACCTGACCATCACTTTCTCCAACGTCCGAATGAAGCCTTTGTCTAGCTTTTCGCACGTCAATTGGCGGAGTTTGCCTTTAATGCACATTAAGGACTGTTGCACTTCGCCAAACCCTCCATTTGGAATTTGTCGAGTGGTTTCTTATCTAAATCAGCTCAGTTGTCTTCTAAACCTATGCACCCCTATGTCATTAGTCGCCTCGTAAGGCGCCCGTTGAATCAGCCGGACCGATAGAGCCAGTATCGTAACATTCAGACGCTATAGTTAGGTTTGGCTGTGACGTCATGTTCTGATGTAATTGAGAGTGGCCCTTCGTGAGGGCACTTACCTGATACCTTGCGTGATATGTTATTGTATTTCTATGTACCCTGTAACTATTAAACGTTTTATTTGTATAAGATTGTTTTCCGTCTGATAGGAAACGATACCTGTGTATCATTGCTTCATAGCGTATAAGGTATGTTTCCACAAATATCGTTTGCTATCTCAGACGGAAAACAACCTCACACCACAAGCAGTCAACCGAGCTATATTGTAAAAGGTTTGAGAGCTATAACTTGCCCACATTTATGCTATAGTTCCCTCAATTTAAGTTAGTGTATAGAAATCCTAATTTGTATAATATTTTTCGGAATCTAGCGAGATACGGTTGAAATGCACAAAATCTAAGCTATATCTTGACTGCGTTTGTTTTTGTATTAATGTGTTTTTTAATAATGAGGCATTAAATAATAAACTCTGGATATGCGTGGAATCAGATTACAATACCCATCCAAAAGTCTATATTTAATCTACGGAAGTAGTATTAGAGGTAGTAGTAGTAGTAGTGGTGGTGGTGGTGGTTGTGGTGGTGGTAGTAGTAGTAGTAGTAGTAAAGTAGTAGTAGTAGTAGTAGTAGTAGTAGTAGTAGTAGTAGTAGTAGTAGTAGTAGTAAAGACTCCTTCGTGAATTGATACTGTATGTTAGGAGACCTATAGATTGCCTAACCTAACAACTATTTCATGACCAGGAGACAGTGTATTTATCTTTGGCATATTCGGCACATTCGGGTAATTCCTATATCATACCTCAATTTGAGTGATTGGCCAACTCACCTGTGATCAGGTTTGGTGAATTATTATAATGTATTTATGAAATATAAATGTCATTGCCATAGAGTAGCAACCTCTAAAGCATATTACTTCAAATGTGTGTACTTCTTAATTTAAGACACCATATTTGCACTTACTTGTTGAAGCTTGTATGACATTTGAATCTCCGGAAGAAACAGTACACACTCTATCGTCGTCAGTCCGCCATTATGTCATCAAGGAGTGGTGTTGATGGTAGAGACATACTCATAATTTCGTTGTCATAATTCTTTGAAGTCGCAAAATTGAAAGATTGAAAATGAGAGTTGATATGAGAAGTACGTATGTAAATATGACGTGTTTCATTCAGATTCGTTCAGGGTTAATGGCGTTATATAAAGAGACGATAAAGGAGCACTTGTGGTACAGGTTTCAGTTTGAAATAGCTTCATAAGCATTGAAATTGATTGCTAAAGGTATGTGCTCCGTCACATAATAGGCCTGTCGCAACGCAAAATGACCCGAGAACTCGTCCACAGGTGATATAGCTGTGATATAAATGTATGTGACAGTGCAATGAAAGGCAATGAAAGTAAACGATTACGTGAAGAAAGTGCAAATAAATGCATGGATATACTAACTGTTTAACCATGCTCGTATTCGCAAAGTGTCACCAAAATAATCTGAACGTTAACTATAAGTATGACTAAGGGATAACCTCGAACATTTAATACATAAAATAACCTCAACTCCCATGACATACCTTTTCATAATCGTAGTTTTACAATCGTCCTGGACCTCTTGTTTTCACGCCGAGCTAGATGGATAAGAAGCTTATAAATAAAAGCGAGAAAATCCTTTCAATATCCATAAGAAATCTCTGCTAACACCTGCGTCGAGTATACGATTCCGATTATATCATGTGTTTATGAATCACTATCAAACAATATTTTTCTCTCCGCTTTATAATTGAGTATTTCCGACAGTGACCCGTAAATTGAATTATCTAGCGGTTTAATCGCATTCTTTTATCATATATGTATTGTATATGTTATCTCGTATATGTACGCAAACTTATTCATGTATTGAAAATGTTTTTGTAACTTTGATTTTCACGCAGTAGTGCGATTATCTGGTACTGGTAGATATTTCTTATGTATTTATTGTCATTTTTGTCACCTCAATAATTGTGCATATCTGGTTGAACATCTTTAGTGGTACCGTTGGAGAGCATATGTTCAGCGCTTTAGTTTGGTACTTACATTTCCCCTACTGGTTTAGCAGTTGGTTGGTTATTCGGGTTTTCCTTACTTTGTTTAGCTCTCCAGTATATATCATTCCCCGGCTGAACAGGGCAAGTTGTTCTCTCCGAGGTCCGCGCACTGGGTGGTCATTCGAAAATCAGGTTACGAAAATCTAGGACTGACTTACCCTGGTTGTTTTGAGCTTTACTTACTAGCTTGGCTTTTTCATACTCCGGTTTTCTAGTAATCCGTGTTTTTTTCCATGATTGCCTACTTTTGGTCAAATACCTATTGGAGTCAAGTTACTCTTTAATTTGATCCTGTACCTTTCTCAACGATTGTGAGTCTAGCTACTCTTTTAGGTCAAGTACCTTGTATATTTGGTAGGTTTAGAATTTCCTCGCTCAGTCAAGTGACTTTAGTCTATAACACTTATTTGACTTTCAGGCGTTGTTCGTCTGTAGTATTGTCCAAGACACTTTTTTTAGGGATAGGTCCTCTGTGTTTACCCTATTTAACGCAGCCGAGGTTATTGACTCATTAGAACACTATTTGATTGATTGAGGGAGTGAGTTAAAATTTAACCTCGCTTCGGCATTATTTCAGCCATACAGCGACGTGAACACGTTGAGATACATACAAGTGAGTCCTGAATACAGAGTCATATTTAAAACCAAATTTGTAAAACATATTTTGGCATAACACTATTATTTGATACTATTTAAAACACTGTAACCAAAGCTAGAGACTTACGGTTCCTCAGCTTCCTTCACGATACCCCAGCAAGATTTGCGCCATCACTTTAGCTACCTGTTGATGTGTACATTACTAGCTAATGTTTAAAAACATATGTTCAGCAAGTAGTTGGCTTAAAACACTGGTTAATGATAGTTACATCGATTCTGATTGCATGTCACACAGGGTGACACTCTGGGACAGAGCCTTTAATAATGTCAGTTGATAAAACCATCACACCAAATTTAAAAACAAGCAATTAGCTATTCGCATACATATTTAAAATTGATGATTCATATCGATTTCTTTCAGGTAGCTTAGAATCACATGCCCGCTCACACCGAAAACAAGATCTTTCAGATTTACTGTCTGATATGTGATAACCTTGCAATTGCAGAATCCACACAGTCAAGCAATTTTTTTGTGAGCGTCTTATCAGTTTAAGTTAAACCAAGGGGAGCAAACGAGTTACTAAAAGACACTTTGTGTGTGTGTGTGTGTGTGTGTGTGTGTGTGTGTGTGTGTGTGTGTGTGTGTACCAAATTATCTGGTTCTCAGTATTCCTATAAGACATTCAGGGAAATACATGCAGCAAGTGAATGGGAATCTTTGCTATTAATGCATGCGAAACTGAATCTGAAGCTGAATTATCTTTATCACGTGACCATCCTCAGGAGTAATGCCCTTGGTCATACCGAGGTGTCTGACCTCGGGCAAGGAGATCAGGTATTCCTTTAAATGACTGATTTGTGCATGCTTTGTGGTTGTTATGTTCAATGATTTACACATGGTTTTGAATGAAACAATTGATATTATTTCATTTTCATTTTTCCAGTGACAGAAGGGAAACGCCATGAATTGGTTCTTGATTATCGTGCTTTTGGTCTCATCAATCCACGATTTTATCGGTAGGACATATCTATTTATAGTTGCTTCAATCCTGCATCCCTTGCAACTCTTGGTTTCTTGTTCCAGCCATCAGGAAAAGGCTGCGATATTGCCTAGTGTGCATACAGTTCACTCACTCCTATTTCAATCAAACCAGGAGTAGATATCCTGTATGTTACATCTACAATGACAAAGTCGATAGAAACGTCTAATACTCATGCTGAAGATAGTTGGCATTATCTCAAACTACACGTGGCGCTTTTTTATAAGATATAGGATAAATTCTTTTTAAGATATTTCGTACGCAATTCTCAATGAGGGATTCGCTCGAACCTCTTTCAAAATTCAGGTAACATGTACAGAAGATGTTCAGAATTTAATATATCAAAACCTAGTTTGGGGTTACAATATAAGCTAAATTTTATGTGTTCGTAAGTATGGTTACCTTGCATCAAATCTAGTTTCTGTGTTGGGCAGCGGCGGAGTGTCACTGTAACACCATTACTGCCTGCACCGAGTTCCCCTCTACCCCTTGTAGCCAGGTCGGCAGTCCAGACAGATGTCAGGATGGGTGGTTTGGTCCGTACTGTCAGAAACGTGAGTTTGTCAAATATTGAAAGTGTAGTTTGACCAGAGTTTGTTGAGAATTTTTCTTACCATTTTGGCCATGAATATTGACCATATCAAAGGTATATGTAGAACTTATTCTGGCTTTGATTCAAGGGAGACAACTCCGCATGTCATATCTGTAAAGTATGACCTGAGTTGTCTCCCTTGGTAAACAAGCTTGCTGACGGCAAACAAGACCACTATGGAAATGGCAGCTTTGGGAAGAAGAAACATTATTTCTGAGCTACACAATGAAGGAAACAGATCAACACAGGTCATTACATAGAGACCAGACATTCCATTATCAACTGTGTAACGTGTTTTGAAATTGAACACAATACGCGGGACCAGGTAGGCCAAAGAAATTGACTGTTGGCGACTTGGTATATTGTCGTCTTAAAACAGACGCATGAGCATAGAAAGCATAAGGCATTTAATAGAGGAACTGTTTATGTTTCTAAAGAGACAGCAAGAACGCATGTGCGAACAATGGATGCAGAAACCACGAGCAATTACACCACCACTCCTGAAACCTGAACAGCAAGAACGACGTTTGGAGCATAGCTATTTCAATTGGGACAATTTTATGTTCTCAGATGACAGTTCAGCGTGGCTATATCCAAACCGCATAAAATGTGGATCAAAGGTACAGAAAAAACAATATATCAGCGTCAAATGTACAGTACTAAATGTCATGTGGGTGAGTCAAAGCCTAACGTCCCATCGGCATTATATCAGCCATATAGCGACTTTATTTCATGTGTGGGGTGGGGTGTCATTGTTGGGTGCCATGTGTATCTGAACGTAACATGACAAGTGCCGTGTTGACTGATACTCGCCTATCAACAGCACAAGTTTTGTATGGTGACGGGTGGGTATTCCAGCAAGACAATGATCCAAAACATAGAGTTAAGTATTCTCAGGAAAGGTATAACGAGCAAAATTCCTGGAGTGGCCCAACTTCAGTCCGGACCTGAAGGACAATATCAATAAACAAAAAAATATCAAAAATATATGTGATATGAAAGCAGATTTTGCGAGATATTGGGACAGTATGACTTTTCTAACTTCCTTAATAGGCAGTGTGCTGTTTTGTAGGTAAGCAGTGTTTGTTACACATTATTTATCCCTTGGTCTATGACATAAAAAGTCTATAGTTTACAATGTTCTCATTCTCAGTAATTTCTGGTCAAACTGTACAAGAGTATATTATATCGTACCATATTTCTGTCTTTCGTTATTTCACATAGTATTATTTGTGTAGATATATTGCATATGTTGTTTGGATAATACTGCTATGAGATAATGTAATGTGATTATGGAAGGGGTTTATCGCTTCTATTTATTACCAGGGGAATGTATTTTCAAGTGTATTGGGATCTGCTACATACATAATATTCTCCAGAGATGTTTTTATTTCAATTGATATTGTGTTATATATGAAACTTACGTTTTCTGCAGAAAATGTTGCCAGAGGAAGGCCTGCCAACCAAACAAGTACCTACGGGGAATACATAAGTCGGCCACTTTACAAATATTCTTTCACCGCAGAACATGCTGTAGATGGCGGGGTTAATACAGGTTTCTATAGCGAGCCATATACATGTTCTCACACACTGCAACAAATGCTCCCTATGTGGACTGTGTACCTGAACACGTCCAGCACGGAAAGGATTCACCACATTAAACTTTATCTGCGTCATGACCGTGAGTACAGCACTGGACCATGCCTTCTACGTATCTCTCAGTTCAGATGAAGTAAAAACACTGCATAATAATATATATAGAAAGTACACGTGTATTGTACCATTATTTTCATGTTTATTAATTGTTGCTGTGGAAGCTGTAGTTTTATAGGTATCTAGAGATGGGTTATCAGTGGAAGTCTACATATAACGTTTAAGCATATTGTGGTAACGCAACTGAACATAATAAGTATGGAGATAATGTACATCTGGTAATAGACGCTCCTTTATGTTTTAATTGTTATTGTATGTCACGAGTGTGTGTTTTCATAGATAGAGCCCGAGACAAAGGCATGCAGATACTTGTGGGTGAACAAATGTGCTACAACTGGTCACAGAATGTCACTCCTTCGTCAGTCGTTGACGTTACCTGTCGACAACCTCTTGCGGGAAACAAGGTCACCATACAAATACCAAGAAGGACCTTCGTGACCCTGTGTGAGGTGTTGATATTTGGTGAGGAAATGAAAGAACTGTATGTATCCCCTTTACTCTTACTTTTAGGCTGTATTTTATTGCGAGTATTGAGACCTAGAATACAGTCAGTTTGATCTATCAACTATTTGACGCGCATTATTCGTGTTGCCATTTGAACAATGCAAATGTTGTTAACATCGTATACTCTGTTTTGCCTTTTTTGTTTAATGCCTCAACTAACAATATTTTAACTGTATAACGTCGGCCAATACATAATATAATCTGGACCAGACAAGCCAGTGATTGACATCACAAGCATCGATCCATGTAATTTTCAAATACGATTACATGCAATTAAACAAGTCGGCGATCCTGACCAACCCATCTAGTAAGTCGACTCTTACGACAAGCATAGGTTGCTACGGACATTAGCCTTAGCCGGAATGTCCACGAATGTCGTAAACATAAGCGCTACACGTAGATACATTAACAATATCCACCTTGTAACACATCTTTACCTACCAGGTGTCTAGACGTGAACAGGGATCACGAATGCCCAGACTTCTACGTCGCCGCAATTCGCTATACAAAGTTGCGTTTCTTTGGCGTGCCAAAATCTTAAACGGGTTTCATGGTTCTAATCCAAGATTCGCTCTTATTAGGTCTTCAGCAAACCATGCTTGCCGTAAAAGGCGACTATGCTTGTCGTAATAGGCGGGATCAGGAGGTCAGGCTCGCTGACGTGGTTGATGCACGTCATCGATCTCAATTGCGTGGATCGATGCTCATGATATTAATCACTGGATTGTCTGGTGCAGACTCGATTATTTATAGACCGCCGTCATATAGCTGGAATATTGCTGAGTGCGGCGTTAAACAACAAATAAACAAAAAAAACAAATGTAATTCTCGATTTGCCAGCACCATACACGTGCTCGTGAAGAGTTCTAGGTCAGACCATTCGACATCAGTAGATAGCTCCGTAAACAAAAATGATATTTCTTGTGGACCCCAGATATGTCTTTGCACGTTTCAGTTTGTAGTGACGGCTGGTTTGGAGATGACTGTGAACAAGAGTGTAACTGTCTTAATAGCACAGAAACATGTGACAAGATTACTGGCGCGTGTTCAAGTGGTTGTCGCCCAGGGTTTAATGGTACAGATTGCCTAACACGTATGTATGAAGGACATCTGCAATTTAGGATACACTCTATTTCTCTCACCTTTGTGTTTACATTTTAAATCCTTCGTAAGCGTGGTAGCATATATTGGTAAAAGGTGCAAAATCAAACATTCAAGTCGACAATTCCCTGTCCTCAAATAAGCATCAGTTTTCTTGTGGACGCCAGATATATCTTTGTACGTTTCAGTCTGCAGTGACGGCTGGTTTGGTGATGGCTGTGGAGAACGATGCAATTGTCTTAATAGCACAGAAACATGTGACAAGATTACTGGCGCGTGTTCAAGTGGTTGTCGCCCGGGGTTTAATGGTACAGATTGCCAAACACGTATGTATTAAGCACGCCTACTTTTAAGGGGCACATTATATATCTTAGGATATATTATTCTGTCAATGTGGTGGCGATAAAGTGGGTCGCTTAATCGGATCTATGTTTGGATATGTCACTCATCAGGATAGAATAAACCCATTTACGTTATACACGCACATTATGTTTACTTCATCATAAATACGCGACTCGTGAAGATCCGGGGTAGAATAGGGGTCTTCAGCAACTCATGCTTGCCGGAAAAGGTGACATGCCCGTCGTAAGAGGCGAATGACGGGATCGGGTGGTTAGCCTCGCTGACCTGGTTGATGCATGTCATAGTATCTCAATTGCGAAGATCGGTGCCCATCATGTCAATCACTGGATTGTCTGGCCAGACTCGATTGTTTACAGACCGCCGTCATATAGCTGGAATATTGCTGAGTACGGCGCTAAATAACAAAAACAAAACAGCAAAAAATAAATACGCGTGTTAGCTATTCTCATCCAATGATTTGCCTTAAATTAGGGAGGTAGACATTCGCCGGTTATGAAACATTCCGCATATTTCTTTGTAGATTTTGTGTATTTGGCATAATCCTAAATTGTTCTAAATGGATCTTTCCCACTTGCTCAAATTTGAGGTCACTCTACCTTGATTGATAATGCTAATTATTGTACATGTATTTAGACACTCGATTTACCTCATGTGTGGCAGCATTTGTCTTATTCTGTCAATTTAGAGTATTGGATTCAGCTACTGTAACGGACACAACACATGCGAGTGTCGCCTTTTCGTATTTCCGTTTAGTTGTCACACCCACGAGGATATTGTGTGATTTTACGTTATACATACAAGTTCTGTGTACTAAAAAGCGCTGGTTTGCTATTATACTGTATCCTTCTATAACATATTATATGATAATTATTGTATTATGTGTCTTAGGTCAATAAAATTGGTATATTAAGGCCGTATTATTCATTGTCATTCGATCCTTGTTGCAGTATGTCCAGACGGTTTCTATGGTACCAACTGTGCTCTTAGATGTGGAAACTGTATAAATGATGTCAAAATGTGCAACAGGTCAACCGGGGCATGTCCTAGAGGATGTACAGCAGGATGGCTCGGTGAAACATGCCTGCAGTGTAAGTACAAAATATGCATGAAGCAGGGCAGACAATATCTGAAACAGTAACAGCACATTAGCACAGTCACTTAAATGATGCGAATATGAGCAACAAACCCTTTCTATAAATCATGATTGCGACTACATCACAAGCCCGTGTTAATGAATCACAATCAAATAGTGGTGACAGGTGGTCCAGAAGATTTGAGCCTATCCTGCCCCACCAATAGCACCCAGCACAAACACATGCAAATGTTAACGACAAAGTCATTTCCATAATCATACGATATCTCTGCTGAAACCAGAGTTGGTGGTGCGATTCATGCTACATCATAAGCATATGTTTATCACAATTAGTTAGAGACGATACCAGGTACGCCAAGTGTTCACCTAAAAAAACACGCCCAAGGGAACATAATAATTTATGGTCAAAATAGGGAAATGCATCGGACATCACTTTGTGTAGCTCCATGTCGAGTCGGATTATGAAGAGCGAATTATGACGCATAACATGGTTTATGTCGGAAATGTAATCCGATAAGCAAGAGTCGTAAGACGCTCTTTTAATTTTCGTAGAAAGAGCGTGCTCGTTTGTACTTCAAAAGTGTTGAAATGGTGACAAGACTTGAGCCGTTGGAATATTGCTCGAAAATAAAGGATAAAGAAACTTACATGTACATTTTGATAAACGCATTTTAAAAGATGTTCAAGAAGTCAATGCTCAACCGTGCGAACACTCTGTGCCTTTCGGGTATACTTGGTGTCATCACTATTCGATAGTTCGTCACCATATTGCTGAAATATTGTCGACGTGCCGTTAAATGTTAACTCACTCACTCGCTATTCGATACGGATTCATAAACACACGTTTATGACATCGTCAGAATCGTACAATGTATGCTACTTTTAGAAGACAGGTCTTGTGATAATGGAAATGGTTTCGTCGATGTTTGGTATTTTTGTGGTATTTATCCTTTTATGTAATTATAGGCTTATCAAATAACACTTTTCCTCACAACTAACTGTTAGTAATTCTTCATGAACCTGAACACTGAACCCGAAATATGAAGAATGTATTTGATCATTGTATTATGGGACTATAAAGTCTATAGATATACAGTTAAGTACGGTTATAACGAACACGCTTATAACGAACTAACGGATATAACGAACTAACTTTTAAGTTCCGATTATGTGCTGTAGTTACGCTGTATATATGCTTATAACGAATTACGGTTATAACGAACTAAAATTTGTAGTCCCTTCGAGTTCGTTATAACCGTAGTTTACTGTAAACTGAACATTCCGTGTGTATTGTGAGAGAGCAAAGAAGAGCTAGAGGTATAAACTGTACTTTGTTTAGACCGCGAATGTACGACGACATCTAATAGTGTATGGTTTTCATTAGAAAAGCCTGCTGGTGGTATGTGGTAAAATGTAGTATTTTTCAGTAGGCCGAGAGTGTTATGCATACAATACCTCGAGAAACACAACAATTAATGCATGTTCAATGTACCTACAATTTAATGAGGTCACCTCTTAAAGTTGTAATACCCATGCTCGTGGGTTTCACCGAAGTGGTAAACATCTGAGACCTGCATCACTTCGGGCTTTCCTCCAGAATTAAGCTGACACGCCGCGATATAACTTGAATACTGTTAAAAGCGGCGTTAAAAAACCCAACTCACTCACTCACATAAAGATGTAACATGGAAAATAGGTAAAGGAAGTAGGAGTTTCTCGAATTCGGAAATACTGTCATTCAACGAGGATACAGAAACATATAGTCGTCTTGATTTATTACATACGGGCCCTTCAAGTGGTGATATGATGGACACTATATTATTTTGTCTTCGGTGACATTCAATTCACTTAACAAAAAGTCGTTGAGCCCTTGCTACCCTAAAGTAAAGTAAACATCAGTCTTTTAATGTATATGCACGTGTAAATCGGATGGTGACCTACTATATATCATTTGGTCCTTGTCTGCAAGAGCTGCTTAACATATTTTACTAAACTTTTCAAAACTACTACTTTTTCATATCCACAACTCTATCAAATATTATTGTATATGTTTCAGCATGTAGTGTCGGTATGTATGGCGTAAACTGTACGTCAGAATGCCAGCATTGTCTGAACTTCCAATGTAACAACAGGGACGGAAGCTGCATTGACGGCTGTATTGGAAATTTTTCAATGCCATTGTGTCAGGGTAAATTAAATTAATCCATTTCGTTGTTGAATAACACTTTCACACCATCATTTCATTAAGAATAATTATGATATGTGATGTCCCTCGTCATATCCCTCTGTCTTCACACCCGATCGTCTTATACAGACTCCTAGGTTTCACCAAGCAGTAAATGCCTACGTCTTATACGGCCTCATTGGATGTTTCTTTGACATTAAGATGTAAGCTTGTAATATAATTGAAATACCAACTGACAGACTTCAAGTTCCGCAAAATGTATAGTACATATACAACTTCATGTACATCTTTGAAAATCTACATTTCGCATTTAAACATTTAAAGGTCAACTGATTGTATTTACAGACTGCCTCTCAACTCACTACGGAGAAGCATGTAATGAAACATGTGGCAAGTGTCAGGGTAATACCCCATGTGAGAGATTGTCTGGAGAGTGTCCTGGGGGTTGTTTATCGGGCTATGACCAAACAGATCTTATCTGTCGGACGGGTGAGTACTCTAAAACGATGTTTGCTTCGCATGCAAAAAGGGATCAGCTCCTTCCTAACTTCTTTTGAATGCCAGAAGATTTTGCCCCTAGGTACCTTAATAACAAAGTTATAAGTACTTTCGTTTTGGATACACATATGTTCAATGCAGTGCAACTGCCTCCATCACGTCGTATGCACTTCCAGTTGAATGATGTGCCTTCCGGTTGGAGACATGTACTAATCCGAACCACAGGAAGCCTCGTGCCACTAGTTACCTTAAATAGAATGTTATCATGTACTTTAGTTTTAATGATCTTTCAGACAATCACATGATTGATTATTTCCAGTACATGCTTTTAAAACATCTAATGCAAACACAGGATTGGTCCAGTACACACGGAAGCAGAACTAAGAATGATCATTCCAGTGACCTTCATCGTCAAAGAAGTCGCTCAAGAGATTACCATATTCAATGCCCCACTATAACATTTTGAACATATGTACCAAATATCATATTACAATGGACAGTCAGAACATGGAGTTATCATGGACATTCTTACATGTTGGATGTATGACCTTTGGAGTGAATCTGCCCTTCGCTATTAGCGACAATTATTTCAAGAACATCCCAAAGGCCTATCTAGCATATAAATCAAATATGATGTCCCTTGGTAGAATTAATGTAACACCGAAATATTGTCATCACTAATATTAATTAAGTATTCAAATGATATAACAATTGATAAGATTTAAAAATAGTTTAATATATATGCAGAAAAGGGCATTAAAGTGAAGATGTAAAGCATCCTTTACGAATGACTATCATTATGACCTTGACTTTATACACACATCACTCATGACGTTGTACGATCTGGAAACTATACGGATGGCATGTATTCAGTTTCATTGATCGCCATCCTTCTTGAATTAAGTGGTAACAGTGTTCTTCATGCTATGATCTAGAGAACGGCATTGACCCGTTACATGCCATATCAGTGTGCCAAACTGAGTTCTCTTGGTTATATTATTTATACATGATTTCAAACAATATTTTTGTGATTGTGTATGCTGCACACTGAACGAAGGTCACAATGTCCTACTTCGTATATCTTGTCTTCAATTGCCATAGATAAGTTTTCAAACAGTATAGCTACCCCATGCACAGAAACAAACAATATTTTTACTGAAAATACGCATACATTATGAATGGCATTCACTTTGATCTTGACCTTATTCGAACTAGGTTTCTTTTCAAACACAGAATGCGAAAACCTTAAAGCATGATTGCGTCATGAACGTTCGGCATTATAATCATATTAAAAACAGTTATTTTATATTTTCTAGAAGCTCAATCGCAGTCTCCTGTTGCTGTGATCCCGATAGTTGGAGGAGGAATAGCAGTAATGTTGGTCATCGCTGTTTTTTTAGCAGCAGTCGTCATCTACAGAAGGAGACGGTATGCTAGTCCAATGTTTAATTATAGAAACTATTGAATAAGAAATAAGAAATTATTTTGAACTGAGAATCAGACTATGTGAATTGTCCATACTTAAGTGACTGGTTAACTAAATAAATGTTCAAATTTTATATGTGCTTCAACATATTTAGTGATGTTGCATAATACAGATCTCTATTAAACTTATCGTGCAGTAGACTCTGCTTTTAAAAAGACGTGTTATGCTCATGGACAGGGTTTTGTCACAATAATTACTTTTCTATAAAAATCAAATTTCCATATTTATTTCAGGAGAATAACTGAAGACAAAGGAGAACCAGAAATACATAAACGAGAGTGTCTGCACTCTCAATATGACGTGATTACAATGGTGGAAAGTTCAACTTCTGGTAAATATTGAGTAATCAGTAATTTAGTATATTAATGCCTTAAGATGATTTTAAATCGCTTCACTGAACAGCCAAACTGATGAAATGTCAGTAACTGAAAAACGCGATTTGGGTGAAATCATAAAATATATTCATTAATATTCACGAGTAGCCGTAGGACGCACCAAGGGTCACAACGGGGTCAAAACAAGAATTCAGACCTACGACCAGTAAATCGTTGAAGCTGCGCCAATCATATATTTTTAAAGTCATTATCAAATTATCTGATACGAAATAGGTCATTATCCTACGGCCCCACCTGCACATGTTAAACTTCATAATTTAAGAAATTAAAATGTCTAATGAATATGACAAGAAGAGAAAGTTACACTGATGCTCACATGGACCTCCTGTGAACGCTTTTCTGGAGTAAATGTTGATAGTTACTTTTAAATATTCCTTACTTGGATTGGCTATTTAAGCTTATAACTAATTTCTAATCATTTGATTTAAATCATACATGCAATACTTTTTGTAAAAGGCCATGCCTGTGTAACAGTATTAGTAAAATACAAATTCCTTCACACAGACTGAAAGTTACAGTGCTGAAACAAGAAATTGAACCAAACATATACTGAAAGTTTACCAGTTTGAGAGTAGAGTATTATTTTAACCTCCACTGTACTGTAAAATCTGATTCTTTCAATATGATCCAGTCACAATTAACCCATGATAATATTGCAATACAGGCGAACAATTGCATGTATATGCAAATGAGGGACCTCCACTGGATGATGGACATGCTGGGGCATTCCATGAACCTTCCCTGGATGATGGATCTGGTAGGGCATTACCAAGACCTCAACTAGATGATACACATGCTGGAGCATTGCATGAACCTCCACTGGATGGTGGATCTGGTAGGGCATTACCAAGACCTCTACTAGATGATGGACGTGCTGGAGCATTGCATGAACCTCCGCTGGATGACCGATCTGGTAGGGCTTTACCAAGACCTCAACTAGATGATGGACATGCTGGAGCATTGCATGAACCTCCGCTGGATGACCGATCTGGTAGGGCATTACCAAGACCTCAACTAGATGATGGACGTGCTGGAGCATTGCATGAACCTCCGCTGGATCATGGATCTGGTAGGGCATTACCAAGACCTCAACTAGATGATGACCCTTCTTGGGCAAACTCAGGACCTCTACTAGATGCTGATGACGAGGACGCCATGTTTTCTGTGGAAACTGATGTAGACGTAGATACCGAGGCAGCTGCTACTTACTACAACTGGATACCTCCTCATATGATGCTGGATAAACTGCCCCAGTGCATCATGGATAAAAAGAAGAAATCATTTGAAGTAGAATTCCAGGTTTGTTAAGACGGTGATATATACAAGATAACCTGTTTACTCGTTTTAGACAATATGTGTTGGTCTCAGTATAACATTTGCTGTTGCTTTGGTCTAACGTCGGCACGTCTGTTATATCGAACTACATATAACTCGATGTATTTTATGCTAATATTATTTTGTCAATCTAGGCACTACTTTATCATCACATATTATATACATATTTTGCTACATCGAAATCAACATCATTCCAGCTATAACATGGCGGTCTGGAAAAAATAGAATCTGGATGTGATTATACCACAACCATCGCCATCGCTGTTGACCATTTCAGCAACCCATGTTTGCCGTAAACGGCGACTATGCTTGTCGTAAGAGGCGACTAACCGGCGGGTGGTCAGGCTCACTGACTTGGTTGATGAATGTCATCGATCCCAATTACGTGGATCGATGCTCATGTTCTCAATCACTGGATTGTCTGATCCAGACTCGAGTTTTTTTACCGATCGCCGTCATATCGCTGGAATATTGCTGAGTGCGGCGTTAACAACACACACACATTTAGTCGCATTGCGACACGCACAGGATATCGGGAACCAATACGCGCGAGGAACTTGAGACAACACAATACAGTAACATAGCTTTACTCTGACAATTTTAGGCCATTCCTTATGGGGCAAGGCGACCCCATGTGGTTGGAAAGAGACCAGAAAACAAGAAGAAGAACCGCTTTGTCGCCCTGTATTCTTGTAAGTAAAAACAATTGGCATTCTAGTTACTAATTAATATAAAAACACACAAGCCTTCACAAAAACCGGAAATTTAATGTCTTCTTTTAGCTATTGTAACATAAATATACATGTTAGTAGTTTGCAAACAGATGATATTTGCATTTACAGATGATCACTCGAGAGTGGTGCTGACGGAAGGGGCTGACGATTATATCAACGCTAACTACATCAAAGTTAGTCTCATATCTGTTATACATAACTGTAAATCAGGGTTATATTGTTTTTTTCTAACTTTGTTTCATGTTCCCTTCAACACGTATCGAGATAGATCAAAGTGTGTATGCTTTGGTGTGGATATTAGACCCGAGAAGATCCGGGGTAGAATAGGTCTTCAGCAACCCATGCTTGCCGTAAAAGGCGACTATGCTTGTCGTAAAAGGCGACTAACGGGATCGGGTGGTCAGGCTCGCTGACTTAGTTAATGCATGTCATCGATCCCAATTGCGTGGATCGATGCTCATAATATCAATCACTGGATTGTCTGGTCAAGACTCGATTATTTACAGACCGCCGTCATATAGCTGGAATATTGCTGAGTGCGGCGTTAAACAACAAACCAACCAACCTATAGTTTATAATATGAACATTGCGAGTCTCCACGTAAAGTTACAAATAGTTCCCAGCATGTATATTCATTTGGACTGAAGAAATGCGTTACAGTATTCTTTAACATGGCGGTCACTAGTTGAAATCTTAAAGCAAACACTATTATATTGTTTGAGGTTGTATTAATGTTCACAGGGACACGATGACAATCTCAAGTACATAGCAACACAAGGTAACAAAAACAACTGCACCATGTCTCTGTTTTGCCTTAAAGGTCTTGCCTCCGTGGTCTTGTGGTAGAGCGTCCGCCCGGAGAGTGGAATTTCGGGGGTTCGATCCCCGGCCGCGTCATACCAAAAGACGTTAAAAGATGGTACTTGTTGTTACCCTGTCTGGCGCTCGGCATTAAGGGGCTAAAACAAGGACTGGTCGGCTCGGAGTCAGTATACTGTGTCTGAGTGGGGTATTCATGGTAAACTGCGGCATGGTATCTCAGTGAGCTAGCACTATAAATCGGCATCAGTCCGGACTAGTACAAGCAGCCACAAGTGCATGCACGTCGTTATATAAGTGCAATAATCTTGGACCCGACGTTAAACCCCATTTCACCTAACCTCACCTCACCTCACCTTTGAGGGCCATGTATAAGAATGAATGTATGCTCACATATTACATATTTTTTTGGAGTCAATTGTGTTTCAATTTAATCAATAGCTTGGGTCGATTTCCATTTAGCAACACATATTAAAGCTAGAACTATGAAAGGGCAGAGGTATATATTTTAGTTGTAATAATGAACTCATATTTTGGTTTGTTACAACCTCTGACCTCTGCCATATGGTGGGATGTAATTTCAGGCCCAACACCTGTTACGATCACTGACTTCTGGCAGATGATATGGCAAGAGAATGTCACGGAAATCGTCATGTTGACAAACCTGATGGAAAAGAAAAAAGTAGGACGTATTTCGTATTTTTGATACATCAAATTAATAATAATAATAAATAAAAGCGTCACGAATCACAAGAAATCTCTGCTAAAACCGTCGATTGTACAATTCCGACTATATCATGTTTATGAATCACTATCAAATAGTGATGATACTTAGTGTTTACGAAAAGGGTGAGGGCATGCTGCCCTAAAGATGATATCGATCACAAACACATGCACAGGCAAGTCAACCGTTCACCCGAAGAACACGGGACCATAATGGTCAAAATAGGGAATTGCATCAGACATCTTGTTGTCACTGATGCGTCAAATTTGGAAATGTGCCCTCTGCATGGCTGCCATAAAACGTGTTGAAAGCTTTACTTGAATAGTGTAAGCTTGATCAAACAACGTTTGAGCAAGAGTCGTATCTTGGTTGGAAGAGCATGCTCAAATATACCCCAAAAGGCTGGCGCTGCTGTAACATTGTTCGGCATAAACTATTTCAAAGTTCAGTTCTTATGTTAGACTAAATTAAACTGATACACATGCTTTCAGAGGAAAATGAGTTCTTTCTTCTCATTAGAATTTTGTGGTCATTTGTTCTACATTTCTGTAGAAAAAGTGTGAACAATACTGGCCTGCTGAATACGAGAGTGACTGCTATGGAGACTTCAGCATAACCAACAAGAAGGCAGTCGCGAGAGCTGACTACACCACAGCAACCTTTCTGGTTCGAAAATCTGTATGTATATTATATAATATCGGTATCATTATATATACTTGAAAGTAACGAAATATATAATTCGTATGTACTTTTTGTATTCGCGGGGTATAATCACATATTGTATTGTCAAATATTTACATTATCATATGAAACATATTCCTGTTAGGAACAAGTTTCAAATTATATCAATACATGTACGTCAGTTCATTATTGGTCCTACACGCAGACTGAAGAGAGAGTAGTGAGACACTTCCACTTCACCTCTTGGCCAGACCATGGTGTCCCCTCCGCCCCAGCCCTCGTCAACTTCTGGAGAATGGTCAAACAGGAAGGCGCGAAAGGCAGACCCATGGTCATTCATTGCAGGTAGACCCGTGAAGATCCGGGATAGAATAGGTCTTCAGCAACCCACGCTTGCTGTAAAAACGACTCTGCTTGTCGTTAGAGACGACTAACATGATCGGGTGATCAGGCTCGCTGACTTGGTTGATGCATGTCAATGATCCCAGTTGCGTGGATCGATGCTCATGATGTCAATCACTGAATTGTCTGGTCCAGACTCGATTATTTACAGACCGTCGTCTTATAGCTGGAATATTGCTGAGTGCGGTGTTAAACAACAATCAAACAAACAAACAAATGATAGTGATTTATAAACACATGCTCACGATGAAGTCGGAATTGTACATTTGATAATTGGCAGAGATTTTTTATGAATATGGAAAGGGTTTTGTCACTTTTATTTATATGCCGCGATCTTCTTCATCAGCGCTGGTGTTGGCCGGACAGGGACATTCATTGCTCTTGATCATCTGATGGATGAGGCTGAGAATGAAAACAAAGTCAACGTGTTTATGTGTGTTAGCAAGATGAGAGAAGACCGGATGAACATGGTCCAAACAATGGTGCGAATGTTGCAATCATTACGTATATCCATGTTATAGCCTGTCTGATGTAGCTTCTCAATGAGCATACTAACGATTTAGACTTGACCAGATCTCATATGCACCTTTTATCTGTTTCAACTTTAATCAAAGGCAACAAGTTTGAATAGTGGTTAATGAGGGGATGGTTCATTTCCGGAATATGAACTCATATTTCTTCATGACACTTGCAGACCTCAGAAGTGCTGAATTTGTGCCTTTTTCGAATCCTATTCAGGGTTGTACTTTACGTTATTATTGCGTTTTCAAGGTAACAGGTTCTGCATTTCTCCATTAAATATGCCACGGTTTCTATTGTTCTCATAGAAGTGAAAGAATATATCTTTACAATACAAGGATTGCGGGTATATGGGTCCGGGGTAGAATAGGTCCTCAGCAACCCATGCTTGCCGTAAAAGGCGACTATGCTTGTCATAAAAGGCGACTAACGGGATCGGGTGGTCAGACTCGCTGACTTGGTTGATGCATGTCATCGATCCCAATTGCGTGGATCGATGCTCATGATGTCGATCACTGGATTGTCTTGCTGGATTGTCTTGTTCAGACTCGATTATCTACATACCGCCGTCATATAGCTTGAATATTGCTGAGTGCGGCGTTAAACAACAAACCAACCAACCAAATCTTATATAAATTGTAACATTAATTTTAAATGCATATCATGTTCCTTCACTCTCTTTGAATGACGAAATACAATAAAGCCTAAAATAGATCGAGCTGTTTGAAGTTTGAACCTTTTGCCATTATCTGCCAGAGCCAGTATGAGTTCGTGCACGATGTTGTGTTGGAAGCAATTCGTAGTCGGGGAACGTTCTTCACGTCGCCGGAGTTCGAAAAGGAATTTGGTCAAGGGAAGACCTTTACTGACACACAGGAAACCAAACTGAGAAAACAGTTTCAGGTAGGTTAGTTGTACATATGAGTTTGTTAGTGTAATCTGTAAGAATAAATACAGTTCAAGTTGGTGGAATGTTACGTCACTTAATGGCTATTCTCAAGTAGTTGGTTATATACATTTTCATTGACACGCATGTTGGGAAATGTTACCTGGACGTTCAGAAGGTCGTGATGAACGCTGTTATAAAGGAGTATACCATCCACTTCATTTCATCAATTGATAAGTACTGATCAAAGACTTGACATCTGACCGTGATATACTATATATACACACCACGTCGTTGCTTAAATGTTTTTGTGTATATTTAACCTTGTTAACTAACACAAGGAAGCCTTCACAAAAGATAATTGACGAGGTAAAAATTATGTTTTTCTTCAGTTACTGCAAGAAAGTACATCCAGGCTGTCAGAGGAGACAGTGTCGACAGCTCTTCTACCTCAGAATGCTGCTAAAAACAGGAGCCGAACTATTCTTCCAGGTACCATAATACGCTATGGAATATATTCATAATTTCTATGCCTGTTCTAAGCGACCGCCTCCGTGGTCTTGTGGTAGAGCGTCCGCTCGGAGAGCTGAAAGTCCGGGGTTCGATTCCCGGCCGCGTCATACCAAAATACGTTAAAATATGGTACTTCTTGTTACCCTGCCTGGCGCTTGGCATTAAGGGGCTAAAACAAGGACTGATCTGCTTGTTCCTCAGTGGGCTAGCACTATAAAATCGGCATCAGTCCGGACCAGTACAAGCAGCCACACGCACAAACACGTGTATGTACGTCGCTATTTAAGTGCAATAATCTTGGACGCGATGTTAAACCTCATTTCACCTCACCTCCTGTTCTAGGCATTATGGCTGGAAGGGATGTTTCGACCTTAATACAATGACCAATAGATGGCCCATGACTATGTTACGTACAGCTCATCGTCAGTTATCACCTACTAAGTGGCCTCCATGCTGAACGTTTATGTATTTCTTGCGAATCAAAACAGCAAGATGAGGACCAACACTGGCTGTAAAAAGTACAAACATTTGGCTTCACGGCTCCAAGAGTTCACGAGAGAGCTAGCACAGAAGACAATAAGAAACTGTACATGTTCGTGCCTTTCTAGATTATTTATCTTGTGATTAATAATACGGTTTTTCTGTTGCAGGAAACAAGACGAGGCCTCATCTGACCACACGGGTTCACCAGCGCAATAACTACATTAATGCTGTAGTTTTGTCTGTATGTATAACCTCTACATGTACGCATGTATACATGTCATACACACTGTACCCAATGTATTTGCAACATATGTATTGCATATATATACCTTACTGTATTTTACAAGGAGTGTGGTACCTCAAGGCTAACAGCTATTAATGCCTTATTGTTTCGATTTATTGACTTTTAACATTGGGTATGTGGAGAGACCACCTATTGATAAAGAGAAATACTCTTCGAAATTTGCGGAAATGGAATTGACAATACCACATAAATGTTCATGTTTGCTACTGCAGTCTATACTCCGGCCCAGCAGCCTGATAGTCACCCAGACGCCCCTGCCAGACACCGTGGTGGACTTCTGGAGACTGGTGTACGACCATGACTGCTGCACAGTTATCTGCCTGGATCACTCTAAGGTCACGTTAATCGTTAACTTCAGAGTTATTGTTTGTTTGTTTGTTTGTTGTTTAACACCGCAGTTTTTGTTTGTTTGTTTGTTGTTTAACACCGCACTCTGCAATATTCCGGCTTTATGACGGTGGTCTGTAATAATCGAATCTGGACCAGACAATCCAGTGATTGACATCATGAGCATCGATCCACGCAATTGCGTTCTAACTTCACCCATCAATAAGCCAAAGAACAAACAGCAAAATTAAAGTTTTATATTTTAAGTAAGTTAATGTTTCATACCACTTTCCTCTATCACTTTTTCTTTCGTTAAAATCTAACCTTAATGATTAGTATTCAGTTATCATTTTTTCCCACCGTTACAAGAAATTATATAGACGTATAAATGTCAAATCTCAGCAATATGACAGCTATATGACGGCGGTCTGTAAATAAACGAGTCTGGACCAGACAATCCAGTGATTAATATCATGAGCATCGATCGATGAGCATCGAGCATAGGGATCGATGACATGCATCAACCATGTCAACGAGCCTGAACACCCGATCCCGTTAGTCGCTTCTTACGACAAGCATAGTCGCCTTTTACGGCAAGCATGGGTCGTTGAATACCTATTCTACCCGGGATCTCTGTGTTAAGTGTGATCAGACAATGTGTAGCTATTGGTGAAATGTTTCCTTTAAAACATACAATTTATACACATAGAAACGGTCTTGTTTGTAAGCATGAGAAGTCAATCTAAAACTATGCTTGTGTTTATTCTAGGAGGTAGAGAACGTGTACCCTAAAGAAAACCAAAACTTCAAGAAAGGACCGTTCACAATTGTACTTGAGAAGGAGAATTCAAACAGGGAGGGTTACACAGAGAGAAGCCTTACCGTTCTGTATGACAAGGAGGTCAGTTATGCCTGTGATTTATATTTAGCAGTGCATATGATTGACACATAATCCATAATAAGCTTCAAATGTTGCCATGTGTCAAACAAACTAACGGTTCCACAAACTGATATTTTCAGTTGACATGAATCAAATAATCAATTTATGTGACGGAAGGTTGACCAAATTCACTAGCACGGAAACTTCTTGAATTTGTCTTCACTTTGAATTGACTACATGAGCTAATAATTGAAGTTACTTTACGAACGGAATACCACAGAATTAAGGATATATCTAAACATGACTAACAATAGCCGTTGATATTCAGTAAGATTGTATGTTATTACTACTGTAAACTAAGAATTAAGACGTTATTCAAACATCATGGTCACATAATGACACTGGATGCACCCTGTAATCTAGGGTTGTGAGCGATCCGTCGTCGTGTTCAGTCTCAAGTCTCGGGACATGATGTCCCACCCTGCCACACTACTGGAGCTGGTCAACAGCGTGCACATGGTCATCACTTCCGCCGATCACAAAGTCCTTGTCCACTGCCAGTATGTTCAACACTCTCAGATACATAGTCCTGACAGATGATTGTGTATGCAATGCTGTGGTAGCACGTTGAAAATTCCATAAATATCTTTAGGTTTGATGGTCTGTTAACGGTGAGGTGAGGTGAAATGGGGTTAAACGTCGCGTCTAAGATTTTTGCACTTATATAGCGACGTGCATGCACGTGTATGAGTGTGTGTGTGGCTGCTTGTACTAGTCCGGACTGATGCCGATTTATAGTGCTAGCTCACTTAGATACCATGCCGCAGTTTAACAAGAATACCCCACTCAGACACAGTATACTGACTCCGAGCCGACCAGTCCTTGTTTTAGACCCTTAATGCCGAGCGCCAGACAGGGTAACAAAAAGTACCATCTTTTAACGTCTTTTGGTATGACGCGGCTGGGGATCGAACCCCGGACCTTCCCCTCTCCGGGCGGACGCTCTACCATTAGACCACGGATGGTCTGTTAACGGTTTATATTAAATGTATCATTTGACCGTGTCGTTCTTTGATGTTCCACACATAGTATTTCATACTTGTACTCTGAGAGAGGATTTCGAAGCACGAAATAGTCAAAATAGCGCACATCAAAACTTCGGTAACGTTAAATGAAATCATTTACATTATTTGGATGATAAGCTTCAGTCGAATGCATACAGCTGAGTTACCAGCATGCTGAATACATACAAGATTAATCATGGTCAGCTGTCTGGTGTGAGAGGGAATTTATATGAACTAGGCACAGGACACCTTTCTTCATTCTTTCTCACATTTGTTCGTGTGTTGGACATGACAGTGACGGCGCCAGTGTGAGCGGCGTTTTCTGCAGTGTCCTCAACATCATCAGCAGACTGAGGCTGGACAGAGATGTGGACATCTTCCTCTCCATCAGGGAACTGCAATGTGTCAGGCCTCAGTTCATACAGTCCTTTGTGAGTATTTGAAGGGCAATTCTGTATCAACAGAACCTGTGGAAACTGATAATACCTTACGTTCCATTTTCCATACCATATATGTTGTATGGTCAGAGTTATAGTGAGTGAGTGAATGAGTGAGTTGGGTTTAACGCCGCTTTTAACATTATTCCAGTTATATCACGGCGTATCAGCTTAATGTGGGAGGAAAGCCCGAAGTGATGCAGGTCTCAGACGTTTACCACTTCGGTGAAACCCACGAGCACGGGTATGGTGCTGACAAACAAAGAAACATAATCGGGGCGAACCGGGATTCGAACCTACCATAGGTTTCTGGCGTGCCCAAGGGACGCAGCTCTAGATCTGCACAGCGAATCGCGGCGCCTTAGACGACTGGACCACCCGTGCCCCCGTCAGAGTTATAGCGAAGTACTGCTCACATAAATGTTTTGAAGAAGAGAAGGTGTCTGTTTGATTTAATGCGTGCACGTGTCTCTCATTAGATGTTTTTACCCAATATGAAAACAGCTCACACTATTGCAAATGAGGAGCCCGGATTGGGAAACCATTGTCACATTGCAGTGGCTAAAACAATTTGAACTTTTTTAATGTACTATATGTCTCAACTTTGAATACAGCTCAATGAAGCGACCAAAGCAAATAAATGTGGCCAAACAAACAAATACCTTCATGTACAAACTGTGTAAGGGATTTGTTGTGTAATGGAGTGATTGATTGATATTTTGAACAACGTCCCAGGCCGTTGGGATACGATGACAAGCAATCAACTAAGTCACTATTCTTGAGGGGGCGGTCGGGTAGCCTAGTGGTTAAAGCGCTCGCTTGTCACGCCCGGGTTCGATTCCCGACATGGGTACAATGTGTGAAGCCCATTTCTGGTGTCCCCCGCCGTGATATTGCTGGAATATTGCTAAAAGTGGCGTAAAACCATACCCACTCACTCACTATTCCTGACCTCTCCATTCATTTAGTTGTCTATTACGACAAGGACATTTTTCTTGGGGCCTTACCCGGAATCCTGCTGGGAATAAATTACCAACAAATATAAGTCGTACTATCCATCTGTGTTTCGAGTGATGATAGAAGGAATTATTATTTACAAATGTTACTTTCAGGAGGATTACCAACTGTGTTACAGCATCGTGAAGGAATACAACCGCGACGCCAGCATCTACGCCAACGTGTGATGAGTACGACAACGTACGACGAGTACGACAACGTATGTGTCATGACATTTTCCGACCCCTTGAACATGACGATCGCCCTCCTACAAGACTGCATGCTGATCTTATCCACAGTACAAAGTGTTCAAAACTATGTGTGTTTATGGTTGATCAAACTTGAGGAAAGTTTTATTTCTCTACAATCGTGTGAAAAACAATGCACCGACTGTTTGAAATGGTGAACTACATCTGTTGTATATTTGATTACATTTGATGGGTTTTTTATTACTCTGTTAACAAAGTAATAATATCGTGTAAACATCACGATAAATGTTATAACAAGAGCAAGCCTAATGTCAGCCTCGTTGGTCAATATTCATTTAATGCCCCTGTGAATATAGTTTTTATGGACATGTGTCGCGTATTGTTTTGTAGGTAGCACGTACTTCATCCCACTTAACATGTATACCATGCAAAACATTGATGTTACATATCAGTTTGGGGGGCACGGGTGGCCCCGTCGTCTAAGGCGCCGCGATTCGCTGTGCAGAGTTGCGTCCCCTGGACAAGCCAGAAACCTATGATTGTGGGTTCGAATCCCGGTTCGCCCCGATTATGTTTCTAGGTTTGTCAGCACCATACCCGTGCTCGTGGGTTTCACGGAAGTGGTAAACGTCGGAGACCTGCATCACTTCGGGCTTTCCTCCCACATTAAGCTGACACGCCGTGATATAACTGGAATATTGTTAAAAGCGGCGTTAAACCCAACTCACTCACTCACTCACATATCAGTTTTTTAGTCCAGACAAGATTTTCTATGTCATTGTATTGGCACTGTATATCATTGTGAAGACAAGGATTTTTTAGTTTGGTTTGATTTGTTGTTTAACGCCACATTCAGCAATATTCCAGCTATATGACGGCGGTCTGTATATAATCGAGTCTGGACCAGACAATCCTCTGATTGACACCATGAGCATCGATCCACGCAATTGGGATACGATGACATGCATCAGCCAAGTCAGCGAGCCTGACCACCCGATCCCGTTAGTCGCCTCTTACGATAAGCAAGGTCGCCTTTTACGGCAAGCATGGTTTGCTGAAGACTCATTCTACCCCGGATCTTCATGACAAGGAGAATTGGCTTCGCACTTGTTCCCATCTAGAGTATCAAAACCGGGTCTTCTACAAGACGAGCCAACACTATCAAGTGTCTACTCCTCCACCACTGTCATCAAAGGTGAAATATACCCTGCACTACTTTCTATGATTCACTTGTTTCTCAATGAGTGAGTGAGTGAGTTAAATTTTAAGTCACATCGGCAATATTTCAGCCATATCGTGACTATCAATAGTTAAACATAATACATATATTGAAACTTGTATAAAAACCTGTCAACGAAGGACAGTAAAATTACTTGATTCATCACAGAAAAAGATAGAAAACTAGTACGGAATTATAAAAGAGAATAGCACTATACATAACGATACAAGATAAAAACAGGCTATAGATCGCCAGCATCTGAAGGTAGACCACCATGCTAGGGTCCATTTTGTTTTTACTTTTGTTACCTGCATGGACCCCGGCCGGATTTACATCATCCCTTCAGCTGTTGGCGATTATGACAAATTTAGCCAAAGGTAAACGAACATATATACTACTATTAAAAACGTGGCCAAAATAAATATACTTTGAAAGACGTGGTTTTATTCTCCATGAAATCGCAGAGCACATAGTATGTATCGATGTTTACATGCAATAAAAATGTATATATAAGGCGTCTTACTTTGTTGGGAAGTATTGCTCCATATTCCAAAAGAACGTATACATCGACTAAGACTAAAATTGTACATATTTCACTGGAAATGTATTCTAAAGCCCAATTATTTATGGTACGATACGTCCCAAGACAATTTTATGGCACTTTGGGCGAATTAACATCACTCAAACACATCTGTGGTCATAACTGTCACTTGTCACGTACATAAAACAGATGATGTTCTGACAACAAAGCGTGTTGGGCGCTTCCATATCACTTTAGTAACGTAATCAATATATTGCGTGACCTCTTCGGCGCCCAGGCAAAGACACAACGCTTCGTCGATTTACGTAAACCTCCTGTTGACGTTATTGGGTATGCGGTTACACTTATTTAGGAATATTTTTTTAATTTGAAGTTTACACGATATACGGCTTTTCCACTGGACGAGAGGTCGGTTTCATTACCGCGAAATTGACCTTCAAAAGTGTATGAACGACACAATTTGACGTTCATACGTTTTTCACGAGACCGTGTTCTTGAAATGACGTAAACACTGACGGACTACTTCCACATTCCTGGGGAAACTCCTGGGAATTCCCTAGCACGAAAACATACACAAGCCTTCTTTCTGATCATTTAGAACCTTTATTCTTGGTCTCAGCGTTTCAGTATACATTGAGAAATGTCAGAGAGCGTGACTGCATGATTGTTCACGAATATCCTCGCTACGGCCTATCCTAATGAACAAACGAAGAAATGCACATCTAAACTATCTTAGTGTCGACTCGATCCGTGTCTAGGCTGACTGTGACCGTCTCCAGCAATCGCTAAATTTACCTTTGTGTCTGTTTGACGTGTCTTTATTCACCTTTCAATGATCGGCCAGTTGATCAATGATGACTAACACATGTAACCGCCACAGGTTCATTACCAACTTCTCTCGGAAATCTCTCCCGCCACGTTTATCGTGTCGGCCATTTTGACGTCTTGTACTTTATGTAAATGTATTACGATGCAATGTCATTGTGACTGACTTACTGAGGTAGTTCTGTACAGGACTTTCTCATCTAATGAGGATATGATTTGAACGCATGTGCTGCGTAAGATGTTTTTGAAGAGCAAGCTTTGCATCCATACGCCCATATCACCTCTCTTTTTGAGGAACTATTTCACTCCGCGATATTGACTTTCACTTTGTGCGAGTTCATTGGAGCATGAACCTTCATAGAGTGAGGGCCGAACTGTATGAACGTCGGAGCTTGTGATGTCATTCGCTTGAAATACAAGTTGCACCCTGTAAAGTAGCATTGGAATTGGAAAGCAATCCAGACCCGGCTCATGCTGAAAATGGATAAATGTTAACGTTCTGTGAACTTTTGGTGTGTGTCATACTACGACTGCTGATGACGGGGATTACCGCTGGAGGCGGCGCGGTTGGATTTACTGAGGAACGATAGTGTGGAGCTCGGTGATTTCTTTTAGTAAGTCGAGCATTCTCTGTTATAGCTTCGAATGGACGCTTCATTTCGGTGACCCGATATACACATGATCTGTTTGACTTCAAAGCTTGCATCATTCATAGCCTAAATCGATGTCGCTCTCAGTTTTCCCTAATCATTTTAATGTTATTTTTAGACATTGAGGAATTCCCCAGAAGTAGTTCTGTATGTCTCCGCGCGATTGACAACGTAATCACGTGACATACTGACGTTCATTGGGAAATGAACGACAGTCAGCCTGGTAGTTTTCACCTAGGCGAGACCGCCTCCGCGAGCTAGTGGTAGAGCGTCCGCCCGGAGAGTGGAAGGTCCGGGGTTCGATCCCCGGCCGCGTCATACCAAAAGACGTTAAAAGATGGTACTTGTTGTTACCCTGTCTGGCGCTCGGCATTAAGGGGCTAAAACAAGGACTGGTCGGCTCGGAGTCAGTATACTGTGTCTGAGTGGGGTATTCATGTTAAACTGCGGCATGGTATCTCAGTGTGCTAGCACTATAAATCGGCATCAGTCCGGACTAGTACAAGCAGCCACACACACATACACGTCGCTGTATAATTGCAATAATCTTGGACGCGACGTTAAACCCCATTTCACCTCACCTCACCTCACCTAGGCGAGGTCACCCGCTACTGTCAATATTCAATAATGTACATGTACGTTCCAGCTGTACGCTGTTCGGTAGGTTCGGTAGGTTTGGACGGTGTCTTATGCGTTGCCTTAGATAATCCAAGAGATGTTCCACCGGTGAGAGGTCTGGTCAGCGTGACGGTCAGGGCAACACGGGTACCGTACTGACGTTGAGAAAGTCCTGGATTTTTCGAGCAGTGTGGGACCTGGCATGGTCCTGTTGGAACATTATCCTTTGTGATTGTCTTCTGAGAAAGGTAAACCGCCGTCATATAGCTGGAATATTGCTGAGTGCGGAGTTAAACAACAAACAAAAAATGAGAAAGGGAAGGACAACAGGACGTAGTACTTTTGTGTATTGCCGGGTGTTCTTTACGTATGTTGCTGTAAATAAAGGTGACTAGGTGCGATATGCGGATCAGTGAACACACGATTTCGACGAAATTTATGTAAATCATATTGAAATATACCGTGAATAAACTTGATATCACAGACTCATAACTCCAGATACACAATGAAACCTTACAGGATCACCGTGAAATATTGGCGTTGTGAAACAAAATCAAACTCATTGTATGCGTGTAGCGCTCAGCTGTATGTTTTCTGGGGGGAAACGTGCACTATACGCTGGACAATACGTACGCAGTAATCTAAATTAGAGTTAACCAAAGCTGGGAAACCATATCTCTTTGACTCAACATGAAATGACAACAGTGCACGCCAAAGATTTTGGTTAAACAATTGTTACAATTTTATATGGCACGCATTGGCAAAATATGCTACCGCGAACACTGTTAACTCTTCAGTGACAATATATGGTATCTCTGCCTTCTTCAGGATATTTATACTAACGCAGAGACAGTTTGACCATTTCAGTTAGTGAAATAGTGTCTTGTGATATAATCACGGATGCTCCGCCCATCTTCCCGACCTGTATATTGTCCTTCAATGTTACGGTCGTCCTCTCCATCAACATCCAGCATGGGTTCACGAAGAATTATCGCCAGATTATGCAACACAGCACAAGCACCTGTGAAATATAGTAAGATTGTTTAAAGGGTTTACAGTATTGTAGTCATTCGATTCTTATGTTATGCGAGTGAGTGTTTCCCACTGATGTTAGCACTATTCCAGCTATATACGAGCTGGGGTACTTACAAACCTTATACATTATCAGTATTTAATGTCTTAATTTTATTTCATTTTAAACCTTTATTAATAGTACAGTTTTCGGATCTTATATATGCGTTAGCTTCAAATTTATTTCATAGTTATATTATTATCTTAGTTAGCTAACCAATGATGGTCAAACTCTCTCTGGGCTCATCCTGATTTCAACGTGCAGAACATTGAAACGCCGTTTGAGCCACCCAAATGCTCTTTCTATGGTTGACCTTGTTTTTTTATGGGAAGAGTTGAATTGCTCTTGCTCGGGGGTAGATGGTTTCAGTTACGGATTCATCAAATACGAACGACATGCGTATCCACTGTCACCGAGAATAACGTCGTCTTGTAGAGTGGTATGGTGTGATTCCAGGTGTTGCCGCACGTTACTCATCGTGAACACGTGACTGTAATGTGTACTGCCTGGCCATCTCGTCACTAAGTTAGTAACTTTACCTGCAGAACGACACAAAACGTTAATGTTAATATAAGTCAATATTGCCATCGAACCTGGTTCGTATAGCAGCCACTGTCATATAGCTGAAATATTGCTGATCGCGGCGATAAACAACAAATACTGAAATCATATTATAGTATAAAGATTTGTCTGATAGCTGTTTCGTTTAACAATGTGAACGGTGTCAGGGTCGTATACATATTGTCCTTTTGACTCTGAAGGGTTGACGTGTATGCTCCATGCACAGGTTTTACAGTGACATTTGTTGTTTTATTATATTCTAAGAATTTTTTTAACACACCTTGGCTGTCACACATTGCTTGAACGTTGATCGAATGGTAGCCTGATCTTATTGACAAAAGCAGGTTCGTTGTCTGATGGTGCCAGTACCCGTACATGTGTCCCGTCGATACATCCGATGACTCCAGGAAATCGAGATATATTGTAGAATTCTTTTCTAATGTCACCTATATCCCTCTCGGACGGCCAGGTTACAAACCTCGGCACAAGAGACGCAATGGCAAGGGAAATCATCCTAACAACTCGTGAGGTTGTTGATTTGTCTATCCCTATTGTGTCGCCAGAGATTTGCAGGAAACTTCCACTTGCAAAGAAGCGTAGGGTTACCAGAACCTGATAAAATGGTTAATATAAAGAGGCTAATGATAGGTTTGACAAATTTTCAAATATTTCCATAATACTTATATCTACTTTAATCATTTTGCTGCGTTTTCATTATGTCTCAGTAAGTAAAGTGTGAATGATGGATATAAGGTGTGCATGCTTTAACAATTAAAAGGGATAGAACACGCAAAACTGTTCTCTTCAGTGTGCACGACACATTTAGTTTAAGTCATTGGAGTAAATCCCCTTTATGAGATTGATCATGGCTGACACCGCCAAGTTGAAAACGTATATTTCTGGAGTGAAGTGAAAAGGATCCATGAATTTACAGTACTTTCAATTGTGAAATATATTTACAAGGTTGGTATCATTAGGCTGCATATATGACTGTACCAACACACGTGTTAGTGAGCAGACCCACGCAGAACTGCGTATCACTCATTGTAAAGATTGACGCTATAAATTTGCCCGATGTGGCGATATTCGGCGATCGAGTCAGAATTAACCATCGGATATCTGGATAAACTACAGGGATAATTGCTATCATTATCAAAAGAACAGTCTCATATACTGAAAGTCAGTGTCTAACTGTGACGTAGCGAAGGCATTTTATAAGTTTTGGCAACTTTGGAGATATAAATTTCGAAACAATTTTGCGAGGGCACGAGGCCTAGCCAAGCCAGATCAGTAGCCATATCTGTGCCTGTAAACCTCTGCGGCTTGAAACCTAGGCCTTCTCCACAAATTAAAATAGTTGGATTTGGCCGAAATATGTTTGAATTGTTACCTTGTTTCGTTTTGTCGCCGTGTGTACATCTGACTACACTTCTTATCGTTATGACAGGACAGACCGACTGTCAACAAGGTCTGACCATGGCCGTGACGACTCATAGACTAGGGTTAGAGTAGCTTCCCTTTGACAAAGGGCAGTTACTCTAGCGGACAGACCGATGGATTGCCGCGAAAGGCAATTGAAAACAATTGTTGTTTTGCGTATATGTTGCTTCGCCAGTGTACAAGAAACAGATTTCAGTTGGAACTATATTGACTACTGTCACTGTCCGACTGACACATCACTTACCCTGTGACGTAATAAATATTAATGCGCGCATTCCAGGAAAACTTGCAATGTTTTAGTAATGTTTATGAGTAAGGGAAAGCGATTTTGAAGCACAGAATTAAAGAATGACATTATATGATAAAGAGGTTATCACGCTTGTGTGTTTTGGGATGGTAAATATTCTGTATTAGGAATAAACACTACGTATTTTGATCGCCAAGGCTCGCTAAATACAATTCCTTATGCAGTATATTTACCATCCCCAAACACACTCGCGTGATAACCTCTATATATTGTGAATTATGTCAAAGACGACAGCTGTGATTAGCGATCACTGGTCAGTGAGACAAGTCGGCGAAGACGAGTGTTGGCGTTTCGTACGTGTGTGGGGTTAAGAAGGATAATGAATGAATGAATGAATGAATGAGTATGGTTTTACGCCGCTTTTAGCAATATTCCAGCAATATCACGGCGGGGGACACAAGAAATGGGCTTCACACATTGTACCCTTGTCAGGAATCGAACCCGGGTCTTGGTCGTGACGAGCGAAGGCTTTAACCACCCGACCGCCCCTACGAAGGATAAAGTATATGGAGTCTTTGATTCTGCGTTATTGTGCATCTGTGTGTGTGAGGTCAAGACGAATATCAGCATATGTGGTTTCTTAATGTGAGTGCGTGTGTGTGTGTGCGTGTGCGTGTGCGTGTGCGTGTACGTGTGTGTGTGTGTGAGAGAGAGAGTGTGTATGTGTTTATGCACATTACTGTACGCGTGTTTATGGACAAGAAGGGTATCAGCATCTGAGGTCACTTTATATGAGAGTGTGTATGTGAGAGAAAGAGAGAATGCGTGTTTGTGTGTGTGTATGTGTGTGTGTCTGTGTCTGTGTCTGTGTGTGTGTGCGTGCGTGCGTGCGCGCGCGCGCGCGCGTGTGTGTGTGTGTGTGTGTGTGTGTGTGTGCGTGTGTGTGCGTGTGTCTTCGTTTTTGAAGTTAAAGAACGCTGTATAACAACCTGTGGTCAGTAGTAAGTAGGGCTTTGTAATTGTAATACATGTACCTCTGTCTGTGTAGGCGTAGTAGCCTAATTGGGCTTCCAGGTCTCCGGTGCTAGCCTGACGAAACCTGTCTGGCGCAAAGGTAGTACACAAGGATGCTAGCATGTCGCACTTGAAGACAGAACATCTTGGGTTTCGTGCACAGTTGACAGCACATGCATCTACTCGTGTAGACATCATTTCCGCTTTCTTGAACAGGTACATGGAGAAGTCGTGTTTACGTCGTGCCAGGAGCTCGAATGTGGATTTGCTTCCAGTCCTTGAAATAAAGACAGAGAAAAAAACAATGATTTGGAAGTATTGACTCCAGTCATCAATAAATTCAAAACGTCGTCAGTCTAAAATATCTGCCGAAACAGATTAAATAGTCATGAGATTTTATGATAATAACTGAAAATAAGTGATGAGATCGCGCATCATATTGACAAGCATTGTGTCATATTTAGTCAAATCCTCTGAACACGGTGTAGGGTGATCATTATGCATATCATTTATATGTATTATTAACGTGTCCCAACAGAAGACTTATGAATGGCCAAGTCACTACCTAACTACATCCTGAACATATTATCAACTTAAAATAACTGTAAACTCTGTATCATAATTTTCATGGAGAGGTCCCATATGTACCAAAAAACAACATGATGTTGTTACAAACATGGCTTGGCTCTAGGATTCGGGGACTTGCTTTTCGTTTGGATGCGCTTATAGAAACATACTAGAGCCACTCAAACAACCCAAATTCCCTCATATGTGTACAACCACCCCAGCCCCCACCCCAAACCAACCCCAACCCCAATTGTCACTTCTCTAGGTTTCGTTCATACCTGCTGGGGAAAGTGAATATCCAGATATTGCACCCAAACGCGAAAAGAACACTAACATACAAAGGCAGAATTTAATTTTCCTTTTAACTTATTTCAGAGACACATTCTAAAGAAGAAAATTGGTTTTAGATACGAACGGCAAAGAACGTGTAACGGATACTCCGTTGTTGACAGCGAAGAAATGTATCCCTCCTTCCGTACTAAATCTCAATGTTCTTGTCATTCTACACGATCACCTTCAAATTGAATATAAATTACTGAGTTATTATGGCCTCTGGTTTATTGAAATATAATTTATAGTTTCCATTGATTAAAATGAGAAACTTACAATGTCGCACTACCAGGCTTAGATAAGTGGTTATAATTTGACAGCATAGTTCTTGAATGGCCATCTACACAAAATCATGTGGTTAACAACAATGTATGCAACTAGGCAACTTCTTTAACGCAAAATGAAACGGTAAGTGTGCTGGCCTCATTTATAAAGTTATTATTATTATTATCATTATAATGTTAGAACACTTACGTCAACGCGGAGAGCAACTGCAGACAGAGCATGATCTCCAGTCGCATCATCTTCTTTGGATACATGCACTACGTATTACCTTCATTGAACAACAGATACTGTGAACTGCTTGTAACTCTGTTACCGCTGTGGAGCAGTCTTCACAGTACGGTAAGCGTGATTAATACAGCGATATTCCTTGACAAGCTTAAACAACTCGAAAGATCAATCTGTACATGCAACACAGGAAACACAGCAATTACGATAATCAATGACAAAATAGTTATACAAGTTTGACTGTAATTAAAATCACAATCACCCTATATGTTTGTTTATTAAAAAGTCTCAGCGATTGTAATCATTTTATTTCAAAAGGAAGTATATAGATCAGCAGATATTCATTTACACTAATGATGGCGAAACCGTTTCAATCATTTATGAGGTCTTGTACTTGATAACAAGGTTTAATGATTAACCAGATGACATAACTTAAATTCCCACGAGGATTTGGTCCTAGCCCTTGTAATAAGGAAAGAGAAAAATAACAAATCGTTTTGAATCATTGGTTTCATTCATTACTAAAGTTGAAACGTGAACGCCAGAGAATAATCATTCTCGAATATTTGCCGAAACACATAACATAGAGCGTAAAAGCAAAAAGAACCAAAACAAACAAACAAACAGTTATAGTCATGTAGGTAGGTACATGTATATTGAACTTTGGATTTAAGTTGCGTTCCAGTGTGTTACATGCTTTGTTGGTCGGTTGGTTGGTTTCAGCAACCCATGCTTGCTTTAAAAGAGGGTCCTGATGGGGGTCCCATAAGCAGTAAGCAGTAAAATTTAGAGTACTTTTTCATTAAGCAGTATTTTTTCTTCTTTTTCAAAATAATCGTCGCGAAAAAAAATTGGGGTCGCAGTAAATAATTTATTTACGTCAGGCAGTTATTTTGTGGTATTTTCCGTTAAGCATTTACGATAAAAAAAGATGAATTTTACGTTTACGATGTTTAGTGCTACAACTATTGTAAGCCTATGTTAAAGTATGGGAGTTACGATCATCTTAGCACTAAGATCGCTTTGTGCAAGTGGGCCCTGGACTCCTCACGGGACTTTCTTGTATTTGGCAACATGGGCGCTTCAGAAGATTTAGCGCAGTTCAACAAATAGTGACGATACCAGGTGTCGTAAGAGTATCCAACCGGTGGCACCCGTCACAAACACACGAAAAGGCAAGTAAATTGTTCACCTGAAAAAAACACGGTAACATAATTTTAATATGCAGTAAATTGCATCAGACATCCTTTTTGTCACTGAAGCGGTACATTATAGCTAAATTGGCTACAATTACAAAGAAACGGCGTGCGCGTTATCAGGCAAAGTGCGAACATTTGGTCATCTTGTCACGTTGCCCTGTGACGTCATGGATAATTTGCATACTTTCGTAAACAAATATGGCAGAGTTTATCGCGAGATTGAGCGAGTGTCTCGCGCGCCGACTGATGACTCAACTGATTAGAAGAACGACAACGATTTAGATGAGGAAATACGCGAGAGACTGCAGCTGGAGAGTGAATCGAACATAAGAGTCAAGTGCCACGCCCAGGCAGACGTCAACCCTTTTTTTACAGGTGCGGAAAACCTCCGTGGTCTTAAGGGGTCGAGCGTCTGTGCAGGGGAGCTGTGTTCGTGGTTTCTCTGACGCTCGGCAGTAGGGACTAAAACAAGGACTAGTGAGTCAGCTCGGAGTCAGTGGTTAAACTACGGCATGGTATCTCAGTGGGCCTAAACTATAGAACCGGTATTACCCCCACACAAACACACTTTCTCTCTCTGTGGAGGCACGGGTGGCCCGGTCGTCAAAGGCACCGCATTCGCAGTGCAGAGTTACGTCCCTTGGGTGCGCCAGACACCAACGATCGTGGGTGCGAAACCCGGTTCGATAATGCCATGAGTTTATGAATTGTTCAATGTCCCTCATTAAAACCAGAAAACGTGATTTTACAGTACGTGAGCGTTAAAGAATTAAAATATGTTTCTGATATTGATATGAATTCTGTGAGTAATTTTGTGTATTGTAATGATTATACGAGCGCTTCACGAACTCACATGACGACGTTTTGTAATGGTCTATATCCGTACATTTCGTCCTGTCAAACAGTACAAATGACTGTAAATAACAGGAAATATCGTCTTGTGTCTCATCGTGAAATGGACTGGAAGGGTGAATTTCAGTACTTTGTGTTTTTCGACTTTCTAATCTCTCCAAACTAAATGCACAAGTCCGCAACATCACCTCCGTGGTCTTGTGTGTTAGAGTGAGTGAGTGAGTATGGTTTTACGCCGCTTTTAGCAATATTCCAGCAATATCACGGCGGGGGACACCAGAAATGGGCTTCACACATTGTACCCATGTCGGGAATCGAACCCGGTTCTTCGGCGTGACGAGCGAACGCTTTAACCACTAGACTACCCGACCGCCCCCTTGTGTGTTAGAGCGTCTGCCATGAGAACGGAAGTTCGTGGTTTCGAGTCCCGTTAAAAGATGGTACTTGTTGTTACCCTGTCTGGCGATCGGCATAAGTGCTGCATGCACGTCGCTTTATAAGTGCAATAATCTTGAACGCGAAGTTCAATCCCATCACACACACACACACACACACACACACATACACACACACACACAAACACACACACACACACATACACATCTTTTCCCAGTAATATATGACAATGAACGTGGCCTAGAGCGCTAAACAATGAATACTATGTAAGGTCGATTAGACAATTGGGTATATTGCCAGCATGGTTAACCTTTTTCCGCCGATTAAATGTTAAGAACGCCTTGTGACTATTTTATATCAAACCTACATACTTAAATGACCCGTGAAGATCCGGTTTAGAATAGGTCTTCAGCAACCTATGACTTGGTTGATGCATTTCTTTGTATCTCAATTGGTTCTCATGATGTCAATCACTGGACTGTCTGGTGCAGACTCGATTTATTTACAGAGCGCCGTCATGACAGCTTGATTAGATCTCGGTGCAGCTTAAAACAACAACAAAATAAACAAAACTAACATGATGTTTAAACATTATTTGAGACTGTAATGTTACACACAATAGCGAAAGAGTAGGATTTTATGGTGCTTCTAGTAATAATCTAACCCTATTTCGGCGGTGGCCACAAGGTATCGGCTGCACAGACAGGGACAAATAGGTCCATGAATTGTATCGCAATGAATGAAGACTTGATAAACGAGGACGAGGGAAGTTGAACCTGCGTGTCAAGTCAACGTTATCACACTGTTCCGCCTCGACGCGGGGTAGAATAGGTCTTCAGCAACCCATGCTTGCCGTAAAAGGTGACTCTGCTTGTCGTAAAAGGCGACTAACGGGATCGGGTGGTCAGGCTCGCTGACTTGGTTGATGCATGTCATCGATCCCAATTACGTGGATCGATGCTCATGGTGTCAATCACTGGATTGTCTGGTCTAGACTCGATTATTTACAGTCCGCCGTCATATAGCTGGAATATTGGCGTAAAACAACCAACCAACCAACCAACTTGCGTACTTTGCATCCCCGGAATTGATTCCTGACAGTGACATCAGCAGCGACGAATGCCTTAGGGCATACGGTTAGTCAACAGACAGTGGGGGCAGGCGACTCCGGGCTCAAGGAATTAGGGTTTACAGACGTTACAGATGATGATTATTGACAGCGCAACATCGTTGTCAGAGATTGAGATGTACCCGGACTGTACGTCGTTGACAGCGACGTGACTGGCAGAGGGTCGTCTTCAGTGATGAAAGCCAGTTCTGTCTGTTCAGAGCTGATGGAAGAGGGCTTGTTCAGCGCCGAAAGGGAGAACGGACGGCAGCATGTTGTGTTCAGCAGGTCGTGCCGTATGGTGGAGGGAGTGTTATGGTGTGGGGAGGACTTTGTGGGCAGGTCATCGTTAACGGAAATTTGACAGCTCAGTGTTACATAGATGACATTCTTCGTCCGATTGGCATCCCTTTTCCACAACAGCTGCCACGTGGTGACATTTTATCAATATAACAACGCCAGACCCCATACAGCCAAATTGTAAAGAACTTACTTGCAGCCAACAACGTCAACGTGTTGCCCACAAGAACTGATGCAGGCCCTCAAAGAAGAATTGCTACGTATCCCGCGTGACGTCATCAGATCTGTAGCAGTGGGTGGTCAAAAAACGCTATTGTGTTGGGTGCCAAATTAGGTGAGCACAAGACCAAAACTGTATCAGGATAGCGTTGTAATAAACCCTAGATCCTATATTTACGGTCGAAACACGTGAAATAGAGCTAAATTATGAGTATGGACACTGAATTTGTGGAGTCTGTCATGGCGGGTCAGCCATGTCGACCTGTGTGCGTGGAGAACGAATTATTTGACGAACAGAACGCACGCAAGAGATGCTTTTCGGGGGATAGTGACAATGATTCTAATAATCCTGGCTATAAGAGGTCAAAAAGCTTACATGCCGCAAACCCTGAGGTAGTGGTAGCTGAAGTGCATGCAAGTGGCGGTGTCTTGACAAATGGGAGTGAAGCGTCGGAAAATCACTCGTCACTGGGAGATAAACAATCAAACACTATTCAGTACAGTAGCACGGATGCAGCAGTACTTGGTGCAGTGACAGAACTTGCTAAAGAAATGAGAGGTGCTGTGGTGTCTCTTACACAGAGAATGGCAGTTATGGAAACAAACCTAGAGATGAACTTAAAAACTTTAATAACCACAACAATAGAGACAGAAGTAAGGAACATGAAAGAAGACTTCCAAAGAGACTTTAGCTCAGTGCAGAAAAGAATTGATGATTTAGAAAAAACTTATGCCAGTATAGTTAAGACTGGACAAGACAAGAATCTGAACTCTGAGAAATGTTCAATAGTAATTAAAGGGCTAAACCCTGATAAAGTGAGTGAATCCCAAAATGAATTAAAGAAAAAAGTAGAACATTTAATACAGGTAAAACTAGATCTGAAATATGTTAAAGTTGTGAACTGTGTACGGAAACAGAATCCTAAAGGTAACAACCCCGGTCACATTACCTGTCAGATGGCGTCAGAGGAACAGAAAATACAAGTTCTCAGGACCAAACACAAGCTGAAGGGTATGGACCATATGCAGCGAGTGTACATCAACTCTTATAAGACAAAAGAA